TCATTTCTCCCCCCTTCTTCTTTAGTGTGCCCCGTTTCACCCTCATTTACTCCAAATCACTAGTCACTCAGTACCATTACATTCACTTTACACCCGTAGTGCCTCACTTCAAACTTATATACTCAAACTAGAAATTCTCTCTTTTAAAAAAGAATGAAAAATATTTTTTCATTTCGGTTTTATTATTTTTTTCCCGTTTGTTTTTTTCTCTTTTGGGTTTGGGTTTATTATTTTTTTGTGTACGTATTTTTTATTAAATTTTTTTCGGGTTTCTTTTTTGCCTTCTTTTTATAGTATAACCAAAAAAATAAAGAAATACGGAGTATAAACTACGACATTACTTTTAAAAAAGTACATGAAAGAAAAAATGATACAAGTAACACGAAAAGTAGTTTAATTTAAAAGAAAATGTAAGTGAAACATAAGTTATGCTTAAAGCATGTTTCGTTAAATAATAATAATTTTAGAAATATTTGCACTAAATAGCACTAAAACTTAAGTTATTTGATTTCTCTAAATAGCACTTAAATTTTTTTATTCCCTAAATAATACTTAATAATGTCCATAATGTCTCGTGATGGCGAATATTTGCTTGAATAATGACTAATGCATAATGACTAAAAGTGCTACATTGGGAAAAAAAACACATGTGTTGCTATTTAGGGAAAATCATTATGTTTTAGTGCTATTTAGGTAAATTTCTCTTTAATAAAATATAGTTATTTCAATCCAGAATTTTTTTTAACAAAAATATAACTGAGACATAATTTTAAAATTGCATATGTAATTTTGATGTCGTTGGTAGATCTTGTGGAAAGAGTTTCAACGACACGTTATTTATCAAGTAATGACTTACATACAAAAAATTATGAGCATGCAAAATACACGAATGATGAGTTCAAAACATAAATGAAAAGAAAAAAGAATACCGAGTAACATGCCTTGTCTTCGTGACTGTGCTCACGGCAGTAACAAAAGAAACGGACCACAAGATGAAAGGCCTGATGTTCACTAGTGATCACGCCATACATAGCATTGCCATGTCAAACCACGAAAATTTGACCATGGAGCACTACGGTTAGTCTTAGGTCGTCCATTACGAGCTAGCTTGCCCTTAAGGCATCACCAGCCGTCACGCCCCTCATCACATTGCTCCACCATGCTGCCATTGCTGTGAAGGATCGTGACTTTTTGCTGGATGATGACAAGAGTTACTGTGGAGACTTCTCCTTTTTTTTAAACATTCAAAATTTAACACGTATTTATCCTAACAAATCAAACTAATCAACATCTTCACCCTATCATTTTTTAGGCCACGCCACTCTTTCTGGTAAGACATATTTTTTACACTATTCTTTCAAGTCCCGTCAAGCCCGACATAATTGATGGTCTTATTAGATCATCGATCACTACCCATTCTCTTATCCTTTACTCCCTCCCACATCATCTACTTCTAATTATGTGTCACTTTATGCTTCAACTTTTGAAATATTTGCTATAAATAGCACTAGAACTTAAGTCATTTCCCTAAATAGTACTTAAACTGTTTTATTTCCTTAATAGCTCTTAATAATGTCCATAATGGCAATTTACTTGAATAATGACTAATGGATAATGACTAAAAGTGCTACATTGAAAAAAATAACACATGTGATGTTATTTTGGAAAAGTCATTATGTTTTAGTGCTATTTAAGAAAATTCTCCTCAACTTTTCACATCATTTATTTCTGATGTCACTTGCATTACTTTTTCCTTAAAATTTTCTCACCATTCTATAATCATTCTACTATTTTTTTTAACGAAGAATTACTTTTTCTGGCATCATCATCTCATTTATAAATAATAAAAATAAAAAAAATAAAAACACATTTGTCCCATCACATATTTTTCTCTCTCTATAAGAATATTATTCCCTCACGCTATTTTATCTCGTCCACTTGAAAAAGAGTACTTAATTAGTTATTCTAAAATGTTAATTTAAAATGATATGACTACTCAATATGTTTTTTTGAGCAGTTAGAACACATTTCACAAAACTCCTTCCGCTAACTCCGTAGTGTTTGTGTGCTCCAAACTATTTCTCTTTTCTTCAATTTGCCGGGATAATTAGAAAATGTTTCCCTTGATCATTTCTCGCGTGTCTGGCCACCATGAATGAAAAATGGGAATCAAACGGTGAGATTGACGATTTGCGTTGCCTGGGGAAAGAGGCAAATTACATGTGGATTTGCGATTGGTCTGGGGAAGGAGGTCTGCGCGATTTTGGTCGGAGAGCACCAACGACAGTGATTTGCCTGAGATGACGGTGGCGGCGATTTGCAATGGAGAAGCAGCACCAATGGCAATTTCTATGTGGGACTGCAGCGACGGCAATTTGTGGGGAAAGAAGCAGCGATTTGAGAGATTTGCCTAGACGGTGATTTGGGATTGACGAAGGAGGACATGGATCGGATGAAACTTTTGGGTTTGCAATTCCAAGAAGAAAGAAGCTAAGGGAGCGCCAACGGAAAATAACTTCCGGAATAAAATCCAGAAGTCAAATTCCGGAAATGAAACCTCATTTTCCCATTGAGCAACAATGAAAAAATGAGGAATTTTCCAGGTTTCGAATAGACCTTTATTGTAAAAGGACTAGTGTTTCTCATTAGAGATTTCTGAGTATTTTCTTGCTTGATTTCCATTCACCATGTTTGCCAAACAAAGAAAAATGAGGAATTTTCCATTTTCAAACAGACCCTTATTGTCAAAGGACTAATGTTTCTCATTTGAGATTTCTGAGTATATTTTCTTGCTTGTTTTCCATTGACCATGTTTGCCAAACAAAGAAAAATGAGAAATTTTCCAGGTTTCAAACAGACCCTTATTGTCAAAGGACTAATGTTTCTCATTAGAGATTTCTGAGTATCTATATACCGTATTTGATTCGAATATTTATTCATTCGCGCCACTATATATGCATGAATTTGGTTGCAGTATGTGTTGGAAGCAGCAGAGAGCATAAAGGAGGAGGCACACGGCGAAGTTAGCGTCGAAGTGCAGCTCTTTCAACCCGACTCCGGTGTCAATAATCTTTCCGGCGGAAGATATCATGCCAAAACTCTCGTCTATGCGGATCTCAAGCACGTGTTACTCAGAATTTCGCCTAAATCTCCCTCTGCCATCAATAACTTATCCAGATCTGAAGACGATGCGATCCTTGTTTCCGCCCACATCGACACAGTCTTCTCAGCGTATGTCTTTCTATTCAGTTTCTTATTATATCTTGTCTTTTAGAATATCAGTTTTGACGAAGCTCTTGTTCTAATAATTAGGGTTTTGATAATGATTATGTTCAAAAAAGGAATATGTGCCGGTAGCTATATAACAAAATCTGGAAGTAATAATTCTACAATCGATATCTGCGAAGGGTCCTTCTTTAAAAGCAATAATGAATTTCAGATGAGCATCCTTTTTTAAGGTGAATGTACAGAATAAGATTAAAAAAAGGAAACAAGCATTGCTTAAGACTTTAAGTTAATGATGAACATTTATCATGAAAGAAAACACAAAATGCCATATGAGGGATAAATTCGGATGTATAATATAACTTGCAGTGACGGAGCTGGGGACGATAGTTCTAATGTGGCTGTCATGTTGGAGCTTGCTCGGTCAATTTCTAAACAGGCTAATGGCTTCAAGAATTCTATAGTATTCTTTTTCAATACTGGGGAGGAGGAAGGCTTGGATGGTTCTCACAGTTTTATAACTCAGGTTGGTTGGTTGGTTTCCAGAGTAAATTTAAACATTTTCATAAGAGATGCAATGATTAATTACTTAATTAGTGCCTATTTTGCTGCACCAAAGGCCAATTACATCTGCACTGTGATTTGTGAATGATTTTGAACATTTGGCTATGAGTTGCAATATTTAATCACCAAGTGGACTCTCTGTGCTATTTGTGCAGCATCCATGGGTTCGTACTATCAAAGTAGCCATTAACTTGGAAGCCATGGGTATTGGCGGGAAGTCGGGAATATTTCAGGTCCATTATGCTCGAATCTGCAAATACGATGAATGCCACTAATGTTCTGCATTCTACTTTCAGTTCTTCCTTTTTGTTCCACTTTTCCCCTTACCCCTTATGGACTATTTTTTTTCTCACTTGTTCTTTGATTTACAGGCTGGTCCTGATCCATGGTCGATTAAGAATTTTGCGAAAGCGGCAAAATACCCATCCGGCCAAATTATTTCACAGGTCTGTTTTAAGTTTATTTCCTCTACGTTTGCACATTTTCTTTTGAATACATGTATACCATAAATACTGTCTCTCTTCCCACACTCAAGTTTGTTTTAGGAGTCTTGTAACACTTAGTCTAGCTCAAATTTACATAATTTAGAGAATTTAATTGGTTGGTCTTGCAGGATTTATTTTCATCTGGCATAATAAAGTCTTCAACTGATTTTCAAGTGTACCAAGAAATAGGGGGCCTTTCAGGACTTGACTTTGCATTTACAGACAAATCAGCTGTCTATCACACTAAGGTGCTTCTTTGTGATTGTTAATTTATTTATTTCTACCTGGTGCTGTAATTGGATTACCATTTTATCACTGGCCCATTGTTTTGTGATGATCAAGTATTCCTTGTTAATCCAGAATGACAGGCTTGGGCTTTTGAAACCTGGCTCTCTTCAACACCTTGGTGAAAATATGCTTCCATTTCTACTTGAGGCTGCAAAAAGTGATCTTCCACAAGGGAAGGAAAACCTATACAGTGAAAACTCAGAGGAGGATACAGTTATATACTTTGACATCTTGGTACTTTAAACTGTACATCTTCCACCGTTTGATTCTTTTTTTCTTTTTGTTATATAGGGAATTGCCTATATGGCTACATTGATTATTTGATATCCCCTCCATCCCAAAATCAACTTTACACTTTCAGGATGTCCCAAAATAAAGTTTATACTTTCTTATTTTCCCATCAAGGAAACGAATACGTGGCTCACAAAACTTCTCTTCTAAACAAATTTCAACCATACAATTTTACTTTTCAACAATGATCTTAAACTCCGTAAAGTCAAACCATAAAGTTCATTTTGGGATGGCGGGAGCATTTGTTTGTATTAAGATTTGGGATTCCATCCCAAATTGTCAACTTATTTATAGGAGTAACCTAGTGTTTTATATTTTGGTTTTGTATTTTTATATTTTACATACTGTTTCTAATTATCAAAAAAATAACAGGGAAAATATATGATTGTATACAGTCAGAGTTTTGCTGATATGATCAACAAAGCATTTATAGTGGTGTCACTTCTAATATGGATTGGATCACTGTATATTGGAGGGCTTACATCTGTAGTGTCATTTGCATTTTCACTCTTGAGTATTGTGGCAATGTGGATATTCTCCATTGGCTTCTCTCTTGTTGTTGCCTTTTCCCTTCCGCTTGTATCACAATCACCGGTTCCCTTCATTGCTAGCCCGTGGTTGGTGATTGGTTTGTTTGCTGCACCAGCTCTTCTCGGGGCTTTCATTGGCCAACACATCATTTATCTCATTCTTCAGAAGTTCTTATCATGCACATTTGCAGGGACAAAAGTTATTCTGCCTCTTACGGTCAGGAACACTCTGGCTGAGTTGCATGCTGAAAGATGGATGTTTAAATCTGGTCTGTTACAGTGGCTTGTTATCTTAGCTGTGGGAAACTCTTACAAGATTGGTTCTTCTTATTTGGCCTTGGTTTGGATGGTCTCACCTGCAGTTGCTTGTAAGTCGTCATTCATGTACCATCAATCAAGATTTGGGGAAAGAAACAAACATATGAAATAATTGGTCACTAACCCGAGGCTGACCTTGTATGAACAACATAGTTATCACGGCGCCAAGTCGAGGCGCGGTGCGGCGCTGGGGTACTGCCAGGATGCCTAGTCGACTAGGCGACCGCGTAGGGGACAATTAGGCGACACATAATATAGGAGAATTGCTTTGCATTACAAACACTAATATAAATATATCAAATTATATACTGTAGTTGGTAAAGTTTAAATTTTTCCAATACATCAAAGTTTAACTACCAAAGTTACTTTTGAGTACTTTCTTGAAAAAACAAAGTTGGAAAAAAAGCGTTACCGACTTAAGTAGGTAATAAATTAATCATTTAAAAATTTTAAAATTAAGCAGCAAGTATTAGTTAGGAAGATAAAGTAGAAAAAACATTAACTTGCAAATAAACTAATTTATAAATCATTAAAAAAACAAAGCACTACAGCCGCGTGTATAAAACACTTAAAAAATAAATTACTGGACTCAAAAAAACAAAAGTACTGGACTAGGCGAGCCAAGGCGAGGCCTTGGCGATGCCTAGGTGAGGTATGCAAAATAAGGCGAGGAGAGTGTTACAGACCAAACGGAAGAACTCAACCCAAAAGACTAGTCTGATAGGTGAGGGAACCCATTTGGCCTATAAACCCCACATCAATTGCCCATACAACCGATATGGGACAAGTCCCATACCTTGCAATGGTTTCGGTCCATAACATTCGCCCCTCCTTAAGGACCAACGTCCTCGTTGGTCACGGCCACGTTGGTCACGGCTGGCTCTCTCCAGGGCACCACTCCGTGGGCCACCACTCCGAGGTTGGCTCTGATACCACTGTTACAGTCCAAACGGAAGAACTCAACCCAAAAGACTAGTCTGATAGGTGAGGGAACCCATTTGGCCTATAAACCCCACATCAATTGCCCATACAACCGATGTGGGACAAGTCCCATACCTTGCAATGGTTTCGGTCCATAACAGAGAGCTCCCGAGGTGAGAGTAGAAGGGTGCCTGGACGCCTAGGCGACGCCTTGTTAGCCTGATTATAAATTCATATGAGATTGCTCCTTTGGTCCCCCCCCCCCCGACACATAAAAAGGGAAAAACCTTCTTTAGAGTTTAGACACAACTTCTCTACTCATTGGGGTAAACATATATGTATATCTTCCTTCCACCCCTCAGGTCCTACTATTGAGTGGCTTATGTTGGTCTTGTTTGATTTGGTTTGTTTTTTTTCGGGACAAATGTTTGAACTCATTGGCTGATCTATTTTATGAGACTTGCAGATGGCTTACTTGAAGGTCTGGCACAGTCGACTGAAATACTCAACCCTTTAACCTTGCTGATCGGATCGGCTGTGCCAATTGTTATTTCATCTGGCGTGTTTGTTCAGCTGGTGAATACTCTAATTGGAAATTTAGTGCGGTCTGTTAGGTAATAGTGTTAATACAGCCTCATCTTATATCATACCAAACATTTGACTACTATCCCAAATGACTTTTACTTTGCATTTTCCCTTAGAGAACATCTGTTTATTGAAGATGTTCATGTCATTTATTTATTTATTTAGTGAAATGGAAGGCTCACTGTTCTTGATTCCCCGGAGTCACTTTTACATTATTATTGAACTATATTCTTCCGATATTCTAGTAATCCCGGCGAACAGCCAGACTGGATGGGGAGTGTTATTGTTGCAGTGCTTGTGGCAGTTTTAGTATGCTTGACAATGGTGTATCTGCTACCATATATTCACAATTCAGGTAAGTTTCGAGCATTGGTGTGATAGAATCATATTAGTAGTTGGACAATCCTCCGCTCTTAGAGATTTTGGATTTGAGCTAGATACAACCTAATTCGAAAAACTCGCACACATTGTACCTAGTGCAAAAAAAGTTTTATGTATAGTGTATCATGTTTTCAGGTGCAAAGTCATATATTCACAATTCAGGTAAGTTTCGAGCATTGGTGTGATAGAGTCATATTAGTAGTTGGACAATCCTCCGCTCTTAGAGATTTTGGATTTGAGCTAGATACAACCTAATTCGAAAAACTCGCACACATTGTACCTAGTGCAAAAAAAGTTTTATGTATAGTGTATCATGTTTTCAGGTGCAAAGTCTCAATTTGTGGTTGCAACTTGTATTTTGTTTGGCATCTCATTCGGGATTGTGCAACAAGCCATACTTCCGCCATTTACGGACGACACTGCACGAGCTGTTAATGTGAGTAACAGAAACTTACTGCCCTCTTGCCATTTACATCTTCCCCCCACGACTCTACAAGCCATGCTTCTGCCATCAATATCAACCAAAAAATTCTATTTTTTTAAAATGTGCGTGTCATCCCCCCTTGCTCCAAGAATAACGGGTTGGAGGGACGAGGGAGGAATAAATTATCTATCCTTCCATTTGTACTTTGCAGGTTGTGCAAGTCATTGATGCAACAGGAAACTCTACTGTGTCACACATCTCACTGTTTTCGGCAACTCCTGGATCGTTGGATGCAGAAGCTGAAGAGATTGGAGAAGGATTTGTCTGTGGCAGAGAAAAGTCTTTTGATTTTGTGTCTTTCAGTGCCAAGTACAGCTGCTGGACGAACGCGACCACCAAACATGGCTTGAAGATATCGCATATGCCCGAGCTCCTTCATGTCAGTAATGATATAAAGGGAGATAGGAAAACTTCATCGTTCAATATCGGTACATCAAACTCCACTCGCTGGGTCCTGTCAATTAATTTCGATGAAATTGAAGACTTCCAGCTCACAGGTATGACCATAGAATTGATAGTCTTTTCAATTGAATTCCATGAAATTGATGACTTTCCAACTCAAATTACTAATACTTGTCAAATCACACTAAAAGATAAGATTGATTGCAAATGATTTATTAGGTCTAACAACACTGGCAACATCTAGTTGGGATTAAAGCGCTGATGATGATGCTGTTATGGGATTGTTTAAGTATCTCGCACCAAAAAAAATAAAACAAAGTGTTAATAAGGCCTTGTGTGAAACTAGATAATTGATTGAATTCAATTTTTTAGTATAGTTTTGCTACATAGTCTTGTGGCCGAGTTGATCAATCCCTATCTTGATAATGCCTGAATTTACACTAGATAATCGATTGGGTCCTGTGTGGTTTAACCTAAAGAGTCTTATGAATGGCTTAGTTGATCAACCCCTATCTTAGCAAGGACTCGAGTTAAACTAGATACTTGATTGGATTCAATCTTTTACACTTTGTTCCTTTCAAGGAATTTGAAAGGGAAAAGAAAAGAAAACGGTATGAAAAAGTAATTTCGGAATTTGGCTAGAAAGAAAAAGAAAAGAAAATTGTAAGGAAAAGAAAAGGACAAGAAAATGTAATTTAAAAATGTGATTTTTCTTTCATTTTTGTGAGGAAAAGGAGAGAAAACATCAAACTTCTCCCTTCCCCACACCTCTTGCTCCATACTCTCTTGTCTCCCCCCACCCCCACCCCGCTCTTCCTCCTTTTTTCTCTATAATAAACAAAGCGTTCTTGAAAAATAATTTCTTCACCAATTTCCCCGACTAACCAAACAAGATTCTTAATTGGTTTTCTTTTCATTTTCTCAACATTTTCCTTTCCTTATTCCCCGAATTAATCATTATTATAGTGTAAGTGTGGTTTAGCCTAAGAGTCTTATCATCTAGTTATCAGATCAATTCTTACCCTATCCTAAACTCTATCGGGCATGCATCCTGCAGATGGTTCAAGGGAGCTGATTTCGCAGGGAGACAAGAACAGCGACAATGGGTGGCACATAGTGCAGTTTGCAGGCGGGAAGGATTCCCCAACCAAATTTGAGCTGATTCTTCATTGGCACAAAACCAAGTCCGGCGAGCGGAAGAACCAAGCAGATGAAACTGTGTTGCTGAAACTGAGAATAGATTTTGACCAGAAGACTGCAGAAATGGTGAAGGTGCTCGCGAAGCTCCCTTCTTGGCTTTCGCAGTACGGCAAGTCCACCTCCCCTTTCAACCTGGCATACTACCAGACCTTATCTGTCGCTCAAGCTGAAACAATAATGCCCGATTCAGTTCCTCTGGCAAGCCAGTAGAAGTTGTTGTTTCTCCACATAAAGATGGTTTGAAATAATAATAATAATAATAATAATAATAATAATAATAATGGGGGGAAAAATCAGATTAAGACTTTGTGGTATTACCATGAGGTTTCTGAAAATCTTAGATTTGATCCCCATTTTCACCCATGGTACCAGCAATAAAAACAGTTACTCCCTAGTAAATATCCTTCCATAATAAAAAATAATAATAATAATTGTGTTCACTGTATTTGATCACTGCTGTTCACAGTTTCATCTTTAAACTGTTCATGCTGACAATTGTGTTCACAGTTTCATCTTTAAATCCAAAATGCCAATAAGTTTTGGAGGAAGTAGTGGTGTTATTCATTTAGTACACTTGGAAAATTGAATACTCTCCTATTTGGTATGAAGCAGATCATCTGATCCAAAAATGCAAACTCTCCTATGCATCACTCTCTATAGGATCATAACTTTTGGATATGTGAAATTGATGCGGCCCCCAAGAGACTTGCCGTGGTAATCGACACCGCAAGTTGAATATTCTGGTCCCAAGACTTTTCTGAAACAAGCAATGATAACTTACGCACCTCTACGAGACTTGCTCGTGGCAATACGTAAGGGGTGATTTTACAACTCACGGGTTGATGACTTTCGCACCTCTACGAGTTTCGTCGTAGCAACACGAAAGGTATGATTTACTTATTAATTAAGATAAAGAATTTATCTTAACTAAAAAATAACACACAATTTGTTTGAAACTTTCAAACACTCAATATATTCACTTCAATATTTTTCTAACTCAATATCCTTTAGAAAGGAGAATTCACAACCTATTTATAGGCCTAGGTTAGCACTAAGTTATAACTAATTAAATAAATAAGAATTACAAATATCAATTAAAATTCTATCAAATATTCTTGAATGATCTTTCATGATGTTTGCCCTTCAACCACCAAGAACTTCGAAGGAGTTTAGTCCATTTCATCCTTGCTCCTTAATTACCATGTAATGACAATGATAATTACCTTTGGTAAAATCCTCTATATTGAATCAAAATAATCTCTTATGGAATTTTGTCCAAACAATATCCATCAAGGGTCAATGTGATTTATTGATGTGGAAGATTGCATTGAAGTTAACAAATCATGGGTGGTTATGATTAGATAGGAAATTAAGTGGTGATTTCCACACCCTAACCACCACGGGATGATCGATCGTTACTTTGTCACAGTGGATCGTTTGAGTCTTCCAACATTTTGTCCAGAATGGGTCTTCTGCACGGTCGATCCTTTCTCACAAATGATCTAGCTCCTCGACCTTTCATTTCTGGCCGAGACTTCTCTCTGGCGACGCAAAGCTACAGTAGCCCGTCACCATAGCCATTGCAATTAGAGCTTCATCGTTGGTTTCCCTCTGTTTTGAGCTCGGATTCTTGTTCCCCATCTCTGGGCGAACATTCCTAGTGGTGGAATCGTTCATCCATGCTCCCGTTTGGGAAGGCTGAGCGTTGACCTTCGTGGTAACTGTTCATTTTCTTCTCTAATGCCTTTGGTCTTTCTTCCTTGAAGCTCTTCTATTATTATGGGTTCCGGAAAAGCCCAGAGTGCCAAGAAGACGAAGAAGAAGATTCCCAAGAGTCCCAAGAAGAAAGGGAATGGAGATGAGACTACGAAGCCTAGTGTGGAAACTGATATTGCTGTGGAACTGCAAGGAAAGGAGAAGGTCCAGACTTCTTCTTCCACATCTGAGACATCACCCCAACAGGTTGAGGAGGTTGTAGACACTACTGCTCAGGTGGGGATAACCTCTGCTCCAGAGACCCCCCAGGTGCTCGACGAAAGCCTGAACTAGAAAAGATTACTTCTAAACCTGCTACCTTTGCTGACCTCTTCAAAGGTAATAGGGATCCTGACCAAGGCATGATGCTGAAGCACTATGATGTTGGTGAAGGTGTCCTTCGCATTCCAGATTCAATCATTAAACCAATTGAAGACATTTGGGGCTTTTGTCTTGTGGGCTGCTTTACTAGGCATTTTCCTTTGCTTAAAGTAGTTGATGCCATTGTCAAAAGCTGGAAATATCCCTTGTAGAATCATACCCCATTGCAAGGGTTGGGTGGTGCTCAAATTTGAGAATGATAAAGACAAGTATGAAGTGTTGGGAATGGAAAGAAGCAAAGCTTACGGTAAAGAGTTTTGGCTAAAAATACCCTCCCATGTATTCATGTTTGACTTTGCTAAGTTCACGACACTGCCTGTTTGGATTCAACTCCACAACGTCCCAATGCAACTGTGGTCAGAAGAGGGTATTGGGATGCTGGCATCTAAAGTGGGTAAACCTCTTTGTACAGATCTGGCGACAAAGCAACTTGGCAAAAGTGGCTTTTGTAGGGTTCTTGTTGAGGTGGACTTCTCCAAAGAACCATTGACAAACTTTGAGGTGGAATGCATGGGGAAGACCTATGTCCATATAGTGGAATTTGAGTAGGAACCTAAGTATTGCTTCCACTGCCTCGCATGGAATCATAGCCCCTTCAATTGCAGGGCATTGGAAATGATAAAGAAGAAGGAATTGAACAACCCAATGATTCCAATTAAGACTGTTCCTAAGGAGTGGGTCCCTACTGGCAAGAGCACAGGAGATGGAGGCTACACTGAACCAAAAGGGGGATATGTCCCCTCTTCCTCACATACTGTCAAGGACTTGGAAGTACTTCACACGGTTGGTGTTGGTGTTTTGACCAAGGTACCTATTAGAACTGGGACTGAGGGGGTTGGCCTAGAGAACAAGAAGAAAGTGCAGGAGGGTTTCCTGTTGGCAAGAAACAGGATCTCAAAAAGGGAGGAAAGGGGCCAGGCCCCTCACAGATGAAAATCCTTTGTTGGAAGATTAGAGGACTAATTTGCAAAATTGGACAGAGTCCTCATCAACCATAGATGGGGTGACATTGGCTTAGCTCCAAGTTGTGATTTCCTGGACTTCAATATGATCTCTGACCACTGCCCCTTGTTGTTTCAATGTGGCAGCCCCTCTCCTAGAAGAAGCAAGCCCTTCAGATTCTTTAATATGTGGATCAAGCATGAGACCTTTCAGGGACTGCTCCTCCATTCTTGGCATCCTCCAGTTCTAGGATCAAAGCAGTTCTCTCTTTGCTCAAAATTGAAGCGTCTCAAACACCCTTTGAAGTTTCTCAACAATAACTCCTTCAGTCACATCTTTAACAGGGCCAAGGAAGCCAAACAGGCTTACTCTGAGGTGATGAAGGAGCTTATGACAAACCCTAGTGACCAATCTTCTGGATAGTGCTAAAATCAAGAGGAACCAGGCCAACTTTTTCCTTGATGCTGAGCTGGAGTTTTACCAACAAAAGGCTAAATGTGACTTCCTCATAAAGGCTGATTAGTGCACTAGCTACTTCCACTCTTTGGTTACCAAGAACAGAAGGAAGAATGCTATTCCATTATTGACCAAAGGGGATGGATCCAAAACCACTTCCTCAAAAGAAGTTGCTGACTGCTTTTTGGAGTTCTACTCAGCTCTGTTTAGGAATGCCTCCAATGTTGAACCCATCAATCCTGATGTTTTGACCACAGGACCTTCTGTCCCTGCCTCTGCCTACTCATCCCTACTAGCTACTGTCACAATGGAAGAGGTTAGGGGTATGGCTTTTGATATTGGCAATGACAAGGCACCAGGACCTGATGGGTATACTGCTGCCTTCTTCAAGACCAAGTGGGATATTGTTGGGCAGAATGTTTATGGGGCTGTTTTGGAATTTTTCACTACTGGGAAACTCCTAAAACAGTTAAACCATGCTATGATTGTTTTGATTCCTAAATCAGCACATAACCCTTCTGTAAAGGACTTTAGGCCTATTGCTTGCCTAAATGTCCTCTACAAGATCATTACTAAAATCCTTGTTAAGCGTATGACTCACCTTCTTCCAGATTTGATTGATCCAGCTCAAGGTGCCTTTGTTCAGGGAAAATCACTTGTGGATAACTTCCTCCTAGCTCAACATTTGGTTAGAGATTATGCAATTAAAAGATCCACTCCCATATGCATGATCAAATTGGACATCACTAAGGCATATGATACTGTTTTCCATCATCTCCGATGGAGCCAAAATTTCACCATTTTTTGGCTTTGGGGTGTGATGGAATAAATCAAAATGGATCTCTAAACTGTTTGCGCTTCTTTAATTAATGAAGTAGCAGTTAGTCAAGCAATGCAACTTTCGACGTTGAGCCGGGGGTCTCTTTGGAAACAGCCTCTCTACTTTCGAGTAGGGGTAATGTCTGCTTACACACACCCTCCCCAGACCCTACTCTTGTGGGATTTAACTGGGTTGTTGTTGTTGTAAGGCATATGATACTGTCTCCTGGAGGTTCTTAAAGGAGGTCATGGTTGGTTTGGGGTTTCCTATCAGGTTCATCTCTCTTGTTATGGAATGTGTTACTACAGCTTCCTCCTCTATTATGGTCAATGGTGAGGGCCATGGCTTTTTCAAGAGTAAGAGGGGTTTGAGACAGGGTGATCCTATGGCACCAACTCTTTTTCTCTTTTGCATTGAGTACTTCTCTAGAATGCTCATTATTAAAGCAAAAGAGGGGGTCTTCTCCTACCACAAGGAATGTGCTTCACTGGGTATCACTCACTTGGCCTTCATAGATNGATTTCACTCAGTGCAAATCCTTATGCAGTCTCTGGATCACTTTTTTAGGGTTTCTGGACTTTCACTCAATCCAACCAAATCCAATATCTTTTTTGCAGGAAAATTCAGAGACACTAGCCAGGATCTGCTGGATTTAGCTAATTTCCCTCGTGGGCAGCTACCAGTTAGATATTTGGGACTTCCTTTGGCCTCCCAAAGGATTTCTGAAGCCGACTTTGAACCCCTCTTTAAATCTGTTGATGGTTTCCTATCCAAATGTGGGACCCTCAAACTCTCTTATGCTGGAAAATTGGAGTTGATCAGGGCAGTGATTCAAGGGGTTCAATCCTTTTGGCTGCAGGTATTCCCAATTCAAAAGTATGTTCTTGAGCGTATTACTTCCCTCTGCCGTGACTTCCTTTGGGGTAGCAAATTTGCCAAGGTGGCTTGGGCAAACATTTGCAAGCCTAAGGGAGAGGGAGGACTCGATTTACGAGATGCTAATATGTGGAATAATGCTCTTTTATGTAAGCTGCATTGGAACTTGGCAGCAAAAAAGGACTCTCTTTGGGTTAAATGGGTGCATAATGTCTACATTAAACATGATAGCGTGTGGCTTTGGCAGCCCAAGAAAAGACATTCTGTTCTTCTCAAAAGGCTAGCCTATGTGCGAGAGCTTTTGGTCCAAAAGCTTGGTGACCATAACTCCTCTTTGGAAGTGGCTATGCAGACCTTTTGTATGGGTGATAACTTCGTTCCAAGTAAGGTTTATGATTTTCCCAATCCCAAGCCTTGGATAGCTTTTATCTGGCACACAACCATACCTCCTAAATGCTCCTTTACGATGTGGCTGGCACTTAGGAGGAGGCTGCCCACCAAAACAAACTTAGAGTTCCTGGGGCTGCCCGTGGAATGCGCACTTTGTGGAATGGAATTGGAGGACATTGATCACCTCTTCTTTGATTGTTGGGCTTCAAAAATGGTTTGGGGAACCATTAAAGATTGGCTACGAGTGGAAGGTATCTCAGTATAATTGACATGACTGTTCGTTGGCTTAAGACTTTTAGGAGAGGGGATGCTATTTTGAAGAAGGGAAGGAAACTAGCCCTTGCTTGCACAGTCTTTCACATTTGGAAACAGCAGAACGACATCCATTTTAACCATGAACCTCTTAATGTAGAGGGTATGATTTTTAAAATCAAGGTAATGGTTTACACAATTATGGGGAGGATTTGGCCTATGTATTCCCTCCCCTTTTGATGTTTGTATTGGGTTGGTGTTGTCTTTGTTGACCCATGCTTTTGGGTCTTTTGTTGTTGTGGTTCTATTATTATTATGATAACCTCTGATGTTGTATTTGGAAATTGGTTCAATGCCATTTCCAAGCTCGGGTATGCCCGTTCCATTTTTATATTCCTCCTTTTTTCTATTTACATTTTTACCGTCGGATTCCATCTTCTCGTGACGGTCAACCATCGCTGGTGCATGGTCCACCAACATTGACCATCTGTAGCCCCAAAGTTTTAGAACTAATACCCATTTTGGACGGCTGATTGTTTTTGAGGAACGATCCAACCTCATCGACCGTCTATAGCATGTTTTCTCCAAATTTATTTGGCGACTCCAATTGTCAACCGCGATTGTCCCACTGTCCAGTTGGTGGACCGTTCAAGTTTGCCTTTTTAAGACTCGTTGTTTTAGTCCTGGTTTCATGCTTAATCATCTAAGGATCCCTCGAAATATCCCGGAACTCGCCAATCCTTAGTTTCTCTGTCATCACGAGGTGAATATAGCCTTTTTGTACTTGTTTCTCTTGAGATCTCATGATGGATCCCGTTGGTACGGTCAAAATGGGAACATCATCATCCTGATTTGCATCATACCCCCTTCCTCGGAAGGATTCGTCCTCGAATATGAAAATTCAAAGGGGGGTGAGGTTGGAGACATTGAAAGTGTTGGTGACTTGGTATTCTTCGGGGAGATCCACTTTGTAAGCATTGTTGTAACACCCTAATCCGTCCAGGTCTGTAGCCTCTTTCGAACTAAAGTATAAACTTGGTATTCGTAATCGTAAACATTCAAAATATTTCAAATATTTTAAAACTTTATTTCATAATAAATTATTCAGAATAATAACGGAGTGTTTAAAGTTGTGGAAGCTTAACAAATCACAATTACAGAACATAATAAATATGTCTTTTAGAACAGTAATTCAATTTCACACATTCATCCCGACCATCTCACCTCATCTGCCTCCAGGAATTCATCACTTCATTCTTTTTGTTTACCTGCATGTAGCAAATAAAACATACTACACGTTCAACGTTGAAGCTGAGTAACGATATCTAATGCTTTGAACATCCAATAAATTGAATCTCAATTCATAATCAAATCATTTGATATCATGCACATAATGTTCAGTTCAGACATTCAATAATCAATATTCAACAATCAATATTCAACACTCATATTCATATTCAACATTCATCAACAATATCCTTAAACTATTCTTAGTCTTAAACCAATCTCGTTAATGTTTACCAACTCTTAAACTAATTTTAGTTTAAGGTACTTCTAACCAACTCTTAAACTATATTCTAGTTTAAGGTACTTCTAACCAACTCTTAAGCTAGTCTAGTTTAAAGTACAATTTTCAAAAAGGTTTTCCAAATCTTAAACTAGGCTTCACTTAAGGTACAACCAGAAACCGAACAACAGAATGCTCACTGTCGGGTTGGGTGGTATCCCCAAACGAGTGATCCTCAAGTTTGGTTAGCAGATTCCGTGCGTATGTTTTTACCCAAGGCCACCGAATATTCATATTTATACCCGCAAGGTCTATTTTAATCTGAGGTCTATCTTAGAGGTCTTCTAGATAGCCTTAACAATACAATTCCATTCTCATTAATCCATTTATCATAGTTTAACAATTCATAATCATCATTTTATTCAGAATATTTACCAAAGGTTAATCATCATAATCATAAATCAATAATATTAATCATAATCATCAATCAATGATAATCATCATAATATCCAATAACAATTAGCGGCTAGCGTCGAGTGTTAACACCCTAGCTTACCATCATACATCACATAAGATTTTATTTGTCAAAAACATCATTTTTATTTTGAGACATCATCTTTATATTGATCATTATTGATTAGTATCAAAAATAGGATTTTAGAGCTCCAAAAATAACATTTTCGAAAAAAATATTCGGATAAAAAATTTGGGTGATCGATCCAGGGCTGGTGATCGATCTAGCACCTGTGATCGATCCTTCGATTGTGTTCTATAGAAACATTACTGTTCATCGTCTCCTACCTCGGGTCCATTTTCGTAAATACCATTTTTAGTCATCAAACTTCAATTAAACTATGTAGAAATGTTCTCCAAAGTTCATATATCATTTTGGTATCATTAGTTCGTAGTTTTAATAACAATTTCAAGGTTTATGATTCTTGGTTCTTCAAACATGTCAAACACAAAACTCAACCAAACGACCGTTTATGAACGTAGAAACAATCTATACGCACATTCTAGTCACTAGATATATCTAAGGGCTTACCTCAGTTTTGAAAATTCTCTGGTGAAACTTCCGACGATAATAACTCCCAACTCCGGCGACCTTTCACCAAATTGAGAGCATCAGTGTGTTCTCCTCACTTAGAGCAACAGAATAGAAAGAAGAATGAGATGATTTGGTGAAGAAATGAGGTAGCTTAGGTACTCTTATATAAGAAGATGATGGAGGAGAAAACACAGGATGCTGAGTCGGAAAACAATTAGCCGATCTTCAATCGGCGAAAATCAGCTTCTACGAGATTTACACGTCGTTCCCTGACTGGGACTAATTTTAGTCCCAATCGGGGTACACGTTTTGGTCCAACTTTCTCTGAATTGAAATCTGATTGAACCTTTGCGGTCTCAAACTCTACACAACGATATAATTTTCACAATTTATTGACAAACTTTATAAATCACTTATTTTTAGATCCTTTTCAGTAATTAATTATTTATTAATTAATTCTGATATGCCTATTTTGGGGAGTTAGAATTGTAGTTAATGCACTTCAAGATTTGAAATGGTCCGTCTCCCTGGGGCATAAGCTTGGACTTCCTTTGAATGTAAATCGTTCTTTTCGCATGTGTACCCAAACCCAATCTCCTGGTTCGAGCATCACCTTCTTCTGTCCCTAATTGGCTCTTTGTGTGTTGCCCTAGTTGTGCCGTTCGATCTCTACACGAACCTTTTCATGGATCTTTTTGACGAACTCTGCCTTTTGCTTCCTACCTAAGCTGTCTTTCTCATTTACAAGTAAGGGTAATAGATCCATAGGGGGGTTAAGGGGTTAAAACCATACATAACTTCAAATGGTGAATAAGGAGTATTGTAGTGTATGGTCCTGTTATATGCAAATTCTAAGAATGGCAAAGTTGCCGCCCATTTATTCAGATCTTTGTTTACGACAGTACTCAGTTTGGCCGTCAGTTTGGGGATGACAAGTAGTGGAATATAACAATTTGTTTCCCAGTTTTCCCCACAAAACTCTCCAAAAATGACTAAGAAACTTAGCATTGCGATTGGACACTATGCTCTTAGGCATTCTATGCAACCTCACAATTTCTTTGGAAAATAGATTCGCAATATGCATAGCATCATCGATTTTGTGACAGGCTACGAAATGTGCCATTTTACTGAATCGGACAACAACCACAAAATTGAGTCACATCCCGATTTTGTCCTAGGTAACCCCAAAACAAAATCAATAGAGATATCTACCCAAGGCTCAGTAGAAACTGGCAAAGGCATATATAATCCATGGGGCATAACCCGAGATTTGGCTCGTCTACACACAATGCAAGAAGACACAATTTTATGAACATCATTTTTTCATTTTGGGCCAGTAAAAATGCTCATGCAAAATCTAATGTCTTGGTTTCACCAAAATGTCTCATAAGACCTCCACCGTGTGCCTCTCGTACTAGCAACTCTCTTGTTAAACAAAAAGAAATGCATAATTTACTTTCTTGAAAAAGGTAACCCTTAAATGGTAAAATTTTTCAAATCCACCTTTTTCACATTTCACAAACAACTTCCGAAAATCCTTGTCCCATTTATAGGACGATTTGATCATTTCAAACCCCAAGAGTTGTGTAGAAAGGGGGTTAAGTAAAACATATCTCCGAGATAGTGCGTCGGTGACTAGGTTTTCCTTACCCTTATTGTATTTGATCACATATGGGAATGAATTGATGAATTCGAGCCATTTGGCATGGCGCTTCCCAAGCTTCGCTTGGCCCTTTAGATGTTTCAATGATTGTGGTTTGTGTGTATTACGAACTTCTTCGGCCAAAGATAGTGTTGCCAAGTGTGCAGCGCTCGAACTAGGGAGTACAACTCTTTGTAATATTCCCAGTCCATGAACCTGCTTATTGACTTTATAATAAGCCATAGACAGTTGCATAATGCCTTTTTTATTGCATTATGTGTTATATGTGATCTAAATGCTCTTATAGTAGTGTCCTCCTCAAAACAACTAAGAAAAACACGTAAAATTTGGAGGCTCGTGTTTTTAAACACGTAAAAACTGCATAATGTCTTTTTATTAACATAGTGTCCTTACGTGTTTTTCTTAGTTGTTTTGAAAATGAATTCTTTATACTTCCTGACGCCTCTCATTTATTTTCTTTAATAAGTATTGGTCATTAATTTGTATTAGTGACCATCAAAACCTATGGGCATTATATACTTGTCACTCACAATTCTACCTTTGGTCATTATGTACAAGATCAATAATACTTCATAATTGATTAATATACACAATGTCTTTCTAACACTATTAAAACTACATGTCCCACATCTAATTTCACCCTTAAGCTTTGTTACTCACTTTGTCCTTAAACACTAAGGTCATTTAAACACGAGCCTCCTCATAAGTTTCTAAAGTCTGTATTTCTCATGCTATCTTAGAGCCTCTCAACAAACCATTTCATAATATCTTAGATAACCACTTATATGTTACAATGCCCTGAAGAATATCTCTTCATTAATGTACTGTGATATATTACCTTACCAAGATTGAATTGAAAAAACTCCTTTCTTGTTGTAAATTAAATACTAACATGACAAATATTTTCACAGACACAAGGCATGCATACTTGACTACTCCAAAATTATCATCATATATTCCCTTTTATCCCCATCAATTACACTAATATGTATATTTGGCATAAACACAATAATAACATGAACTTATATATAGCCACTAATTGTCATCGTCTACCTCGAATTTGGATCTGCTTCCTCTAGTGTTGATTTTTCGTATATTTCCAACACCTTTATCTCTTGGAACTCCAAATTTTATCAACCCCAATTTTATTTATCGATCCCAAATTTTATTTTCTTTATCAACCCTAATTTCTTTATCAACCTAAAATTTTATTTTCTTTATCAACCCCAATTTTTTTGGGTGTTGAGAAATTTTTTTTCTATTTATTTTCGTAGTATCACTAACATGATTTTAATGGCCTTTTGATTTTGCCTACACGAAAGAAGTTTGGATCTACATGGAAACTATTGTGTGTAAAAGCGCATGGCTCATGATGTGAATGACTTGGCCCTTGAGGTTATTTCAGTCTTTTTGAACACACAAACGAGTGAACACGTAGGCTTGTATTTTAGTACTATTTGTGTAAATTTCTCTTTAAAAAATTCTACAAATTCAAAGTATTCAACTAATTCAATATTCATTCTACTTGCAAGAGAAGATAGAAAATTTCTCATTGTCAGACTAAAAAAATTACTGCCCGCAAGACACTGTACAAGGGATAAATTCAAAAAACCTAATTTATTCAAAAATTACATTGCAAATCTGGAACAATAAATAAAAATGAAATTGCCTATTAAATCTGGAACATCGTGGAACAATTGTGTTCCGATGGCCTTAAGTCTCGAACAATTGCCATTTTCCTAATTGATTCAAAAAATAAAAACCTGCCAATTTGTAAACCTAATTGAAACATCTTTCTTGGCCAAAATTACTTTGCAAATCTGGCAAGATAAATAAAAAATAGAATTGCAGAAACCCTAGGCAATAGATACTTTGCAAATGTGAAACAATTGTTTTCCACGATGGACAACATAATTGTCTAATATTTGAAAAGAAATAAAGGTGTAGAGAAGAAAATCACATGCAAGAATGAGAAACCTGGCAACTAGTAAACCTGCGGCTGTGTAGAAAACGTGTCATGCGATTCACAAGAAAGCCGATGAAGAATATCTGCTCTTCCGACTAGAAAATAATGGACAAATACTATTTGTAGGATTGAGTAAAATATCTTGATATATGAATCATTTTATTAAATCCATGGTTTTAATATTATTTTGAATACGTCTAGTTTTTTTCAGTTTTAAAAGTCTACTTTGAATCCCGCTAGAATTGTGTTGAATTTTAAAATGATTTTTTAAAATCATAATTGAATACATTCAGTTTTTTGTATGTTTTAAAAAATTACAATTAAATACACCTAAACTTTTGAACTCCATTGCTTTCTATTTAAATGAATAAGAATCCATATACTATACACTCCCCCCCATTATTCACTGAAATAATTGTACATTTAATGGGTTATTTATGGAAATAATAATATATTATTATAGGCCGTGTTTGGAAAATAGCATTTCGGATAGCTTTTGGCATCTTTGACTGACTTTGGCTTTTTTGACCAAGCGAACCGCCAAAACCATTGTTTGGCTAATGGCTTTTTCACTTGGCATTTTGATCCGAAAAGCCAAAATCTGAAATGCCAAGGGGAGTAGCATTTGGACTTGGCGGTTAGGAAAAATAATTTTTTAAAATAATTTTTATTGAAAGATATTTTACAATATATGTAAAAAATAAAAATAAAAATAAAAGTTAAAAAAATTAAATACTAAAAAAATAAAATTTAAAATTTCAAAATTTCAAAAAATGAAATGAGAAAATAAAAAGTAAAAATCATTAAAAAAATTATATTTATAATTTATTATGAATTAAAGAAATTAAAATGTAATACTCCATATAGTAAAGATTTAATTTTTACATGTAAAAAAAATGAAAAATAAATATCGTGTGTGTGTCTATATATATATATATATATATATATAATGATATATATATATATATATATATATATATATATATATATATATATATATATATATATATATATATATAGGGTTTAGGAAAAAATAGGAAAAACTATTTTCAAACAGCTAATTTTACCAAACGTTTTTAACGATCAGCCAATTCATTCTGCCAGTCAAACCAGCTAAACTAAACAGCCGTTCACAACAGCTAGCACGAACTGCCAACTGCCAACAGCTGACAGCCAATATCCAAACAAGGCCATAATGGAACAAAAATATGATGAAAATATTTATATAATATAACTAATATAATAGAGACAAAATGTCCATATATATATATATATATATATATATATATATATATATATAAACATCGGGTCTTTGAAGTTCGTAAAAGATTTAAGCAGCATGGATGAATACTACCAATACTTAAAATAGAAAGTGTAAAAAGATAAAGAGAGTGAAAAATCTATAGATATGAAGTTCGAAATAAAAAAACTTATCTGATATCTTCACATTCAATAAATAAAGATCCATAGAAATGAAACCACATGTATCATCTCCAGCTCCCGGCGGGGCAATGGCATAGAGACAAAGAGAGAGGGGGAGAGAGGCGAGTGGCGGGAGGGGTATGGGGTTTGTAGGTTAGGGTAGAAAATAAAATCAAGGTGGGTTGGGTTGAAGGAGAATAAGTGGGACGCGTTTCTATAATTGAGTTGGTGGGTTAGTTTGAAATAGGACTTTTTAAGATTTAAATGGACTGGTGGATTTGAGTATATCGAAATCTGGCCCGACTTACTTCGGGTTTGGGTTTGATTTTGACGAGTCGATTAATTTTGGATATTTTTTATTCGGATTTTGTTTAATATTCAGTCGGGTCGTGACGGTAACAGTCAAATTTGGATTTGAATACACTAAAAAAGTATTTATTAAAATTTTAATAAATTTAAGATTGAAATACATTGAAATTTTACTCCTTACGTCCCGTATCTTTATTTATGTTGCAACGAATGAAAAAAATTTCAAATTTTTTCAATCTATTTTATAAAAATATTGGTATAGAAATGAAAAATAAAACTTACATATTTACAAAATACATCAAAAGTTCAACAAAACAAGTAGTGACAAAAATTGCTCGATTTATCATATAGGTCATGAAAAAGTACAAATAAATAATCCATCCGTCTCCCTAGTATTTTCTCATTTTGACTTTTGGTGGTTTTTAAGGAAAGTTGAAAAAAGGTAAAAGTTTACCATAATACACTTAATGAAAAATGGGTGGAGTGTATTAAATGAGGTGAGTAAGGGGTAATAAATAAAGTAAGTGAGGGTAGTTGTGGTATTTTAATTGTTAAAAAATGAAATGAGAAGATCTATTATGAACAAAGAAAAATGACTATTGAGAATATTTATGAGGGACGGAGGGAGTAAAAGTTTTCGTATTGGTGCGTGGCTCAATGCGAATTTTATGTCAAATCAAATTAAATAAAAAGATTCAAAAAATCCAATGATTTAAGAGGAAAAAGTTGGTGCATGACTTCATACATATTTTATGTCAAATCAAATTAAATAAACAGATTCACAAAATTTATACATTTAATGGGTAGGTTGATTGCCCAATTATATATACTACTTATAACGCAAACATTTTGTAACAATCTCATCTTCAAAAAATGCCCTTCTTTCGAAAAATATCTCAAGAACATTCAAAGAGTACGTGGAATGTCCTTGCCAAGATTGACAATAATCACACCACTTGGGTCCTTATGTTACGAGCCGTTCGTGTCTACTTTGTTCCGGCTTGGGCAAAAAGAGGAGATTCAATGTAATTTATAAAAAAGTTTTTCAGAACTTATAATGTAATGGATCCACATTCTGTATTATTATATACTACGTATTTCCTTTCTTTAGTATTTGATTATATATTATTATGTTAATTTATTTTTATCATTTTTCTTCATCAATGCTTTCCGTAGTTATTTTATTTATAATTAGACCGTGCAACGCAAGCAAACAAAATAATTCAGGATAGGACCATGCTAGGATGCCACCATATGGGTGCTACCACGATTGCACCCATGCTTCGCACAGACAAACATAGACGATAATTGTCTGTGCGATACAGACAATTATCGTCTGTGTTTGTCTGTGCGAAACATGGGTGCACCTGTGGTAGGATGGTGGCACCCTAGCATTACATCTGCTGAACCCACTGCCGCATTAATTCAGGATAAGGGCAGTGGCAATACATGTAACACCCAACCGCGTTATTGCACTTTTAACGCCCCAGGGGCGTTAAACACCGCCCCCCTGGGGCTTCATCCGGGCGTTATTGCTTTTGCGTCAAAGTTATAATAGGCGTTTTACTCTTCTTCTTTCAATTAAAAAAACTCTTTTCTTTAAACACCCACAAAATATTTTCCTCTTCAATTTTTTATTTTAAAAAATAAAACTCACAAACAAAATCTTTCTTCTTCAATTTTTTTTAAAAACCCACAAAATCTTTTCCTCTATCTTCTTCAAATAAAAAAATATTCAATTGTTTTCATCTTTTTTAACATGAATCTCTTCATTTTTTATGTTCATTTGTCCGGTCTCGAGTCAAACGACCAAACGAATATAACTTGTTTTCGAGAGAAGACATAACGAGATCAAAGCTAAATATAATTTGTTTTAAGTTTTTAATTAATGTTATTTTTTAATTAAATGTAATTTTTTAATTATTTTTTTAATGAATGTAATTTTTTTAATGCACTAGTCTCATTGCGATTAATTTAAATATTAAATTAATTTAAATTTATTAATTTAAATTTAGAAGATGTATATTTAAAAATGTAAAAAATAAAGGTTTGAAGCCGTGAGATTTCAAACCCATTTCCAGTCAACTTTTGGTGTAACTTAAAATTACTAGAAAGGGCTTCATACTGAGCTAACAGAACCCACTGCCGCGCTCCTACATACTGAGCTATTCCGGGGTGCTGTGCTCGCTCTTGCTTTCATCTCCAACCCACTCAAGAATCAAAATTCCATTTTTCCATTTCTTCTAATTCTTAATTAAGGTAAGCTTTCTTCATGGTTTATTGATTCCCTATTCTTCCCCCATTCATATGCATGACTGTTGGGATCGCGTTTTTTTCTGGGGTTCTTTGGGTTTTGCTCATCGCGTCTGGTAGTTCTATTCATTGTTTCTTCTACAATTATTCAATGTTAGGAGTAGAAAAATCGGTTAACACGCCAAATCTTACTCCTAACACTATGTTTGGTTCAAGAAATTTGGAAGGAGAAATTTGTTTCCCCTCCTTATAGTACATTTTGCCATCTCATTGTCTTTTCATTCCAATTTTCTTTTCTTTTTCTCTCTAACTAGAAATGAAAAATTGTTTTCCATCCCATTTTCTTTTCTTATCTTTTCCATTTTAAAATTCTTGAACCAAACATGTATACTATGTTCGGTTCAAAGAATTAGGAAGTAAAAGAAAAGAAAATGATTTTCTCTTATTTTCCTTACCAAAATGGGAGGAATTTGGTTTTCTCTCCACTTAATATATTTTGATAGAATTTAGGATGGGATAGGGACAACTGGATTGGGCAATACGACACTTGGGCTGAACCACATTAAAAGATTGAATTCAATCAATTAGTTAGTTTAATTCAGGAGCTTATATACCGATTATTTTACTCTTGGACTTCCGATGTGGGATGACACTCTAACACTCCCCTCAAGTGGACAATCGGGCCATTTTGAATCTAACCGGTTGACCACTTGCAAATGGACTCTCTTCCCCCTTGATTTTTTTAGCACCAGCACCTAAAGAACCACGAGCCGTTGGGTATGGACTTCCAGACGAGCAATTGGGTTAAACAGGCCACAGGCCGTTGGGTACATACTCCATACGGATAACTGAACTAAAGAGTAAAGACTAACGGGCCGCTAGGAATGAACGTCTAGACGGACACCTTGACAAACGAGGTGGGCCAAAACCTGCTTTGATACCATGATAAAATTTAGGAATTAGGATGGGATAGGGACAACTGAATTGGGCAATACGACACTTGGGCTGAACCACATTAAAAGATTAAATCCAATCGATTAGTTAGTTCAACTCAAGAGCTTATATACTGATTATTTTACTCTTGGACTTCCGATGTGGGATGACACTCTAACATATTTTGTCTTCTCATTTTCTTTTCCTTCCACATTTCCTTTCTTTTCTGCTCTAACCAAACAAGAAAAATTGTTTTCCACTTCATTTTCATTTCTTTTCCTTTCAGATTCCTTGAACCAAACATAGTCTAAGTATCTCTAATTTCAGATTATATGGTGTTTTTGTTTGAGGGGTCTAAAAAGGTTTTTAAGGATTTTAATTTCCACTGATTAATTTTTCTTGACCATGTAGGTGTATGGTCTTCCATTGAAGAAAATATCATACCATAGTGGGAAAAAAAGAAGAAAAAGAGAAATGAGACAGAGGTCTAAAGGTGCTGCAAAGCCGAATGCTGTAAGTGGGGGTGATACAAGTAGTGAGAAGGGTACCCAATTGAAACCCAATGTGCACATAGTGGCTAAGAGGTCAGGGTATGCAATATTCGTGCTGTTAGTGTTGGTTATATATGCCACTTGGGGAGTGTATAGATATCAATATGAGAGTCTCCCTGAGCCACTCGGAGCTGAGCATGCCGGTAAAAGAGGCTTTTCTGAGCTCCTGGCCATGGAGCATGTTAAGGCATTGACAAAACTAGGCCCACATCCCGTCGGTTCTGATAATCTAGCCACTGCCCTGCAGGTGTAGTACATGTTAAGTTGTCTCTCATAGATTGGTTCATTTTGTTGTTTAACTTTGTTTCTAATATGTCGTAATTAAGTACTTGTACATTAGAATTTCTATAATAAAGAGAATTCAAGTTATGCTAAAGCTCATAGTTTTGAAAGGTGTGCCTCAGTGTGCCTTGCGCCCTTAATAACTGTGGTTAAGCTTTCATGTTATTGAGTATTAGGTTAGTTTGGATTGAGGGTTTCGGAGGGCTAAATCTGTATCATGATGGGTGATCATATGACAATTCAATCACCCTCCATTCATTTTTAGTAGGACTCTGTTTATCAAGATGTGGAATACACCTACCAAAGTCTTCCCTTCCAAAACCCTCCATCATAACTAACCCAAGAGCATATGACGAAGTAACAAACACACTAAAAGTGGAAGCTAAATCCATATGCAGATGGTTTTTATTTTGCACCTTTACTTACTGCTTACCATGAATTCGGTTCATGTATTTCGTTGCAGTATGTCTTGCAAGTATCAGAAACTATTAAGAAGGAGGCTCATTGGGAAGTTGATTTGGAAATTGACCTTTTTCATTCCAAATCTGGTGCTAATCATCTTGTCGGTGGGCTTTTTAAGGGGAAAACCCTTGTTTATTCGGATCTCGATCATGTTGTAGTGAGAATATCTTCAAAATATGAAACTAATGCAGAAGAAAATGCCATTCTTGTTTCTTCCCACATTGATACAGTTTTCTCTGCGTATGTGTTTATATTACTAGTACTTGCTTAAAAGTTAGATATTAACATAATATGGATAAAACCATACACTCAATGTACTTTTATAACCACTGCATTTGGATAAAATCAATATGCTCATTATGATACACTGCCTCTTAATCATCATTAGCCCTGGAAAAATTGGAGTTTTATGATTAGCCATTCTTCAAGTTATGTCATTGACAAGACACCGTCTATATGTTTTTTGGTTGGATGTTTTTTTCATTAGAGAAGGAGCAGGAGACTGTAGTTCATGTGTAGCTGTTATGTTGGAGCTTGCTCGAGGAATTTCTCAATGGGCCCACAGTTTCAAGAATTCTATCATATTCTTGTTTAATACTGGGGAGGAGGAAGGCCTGAGTGGTGCTCATAGCTTTGTAACTCAGGTTTTCCAGTCTTCTTCACCGGAAAACTTGCTCTATATCCCCAGCTTTTGTTTACTGGCCGTTTATTTCTGGTTTTTTAGCTGTATAGAGAAAGTGACCTACCCTTTTCTACCTAATTAAAGAATATATTTACTTGCATCCTCATTCAACATATATATGTAGGGGAAAAAAGGTATGATGTAATAGATTTGAGCAGGTTACATGCTTGGATCTATAGGTCAGCAAAACTACAATAAAAAATATTTAGGCAAGTGAGGAGAAAATAATAACCATACCGTGAGAAGCGATTCTATCACATAATGTAGCACATCCATGCGGAACTGCGGAAGTAAAGATTCTATCATAAAAGTTGTTTCTCTATCTTTGATCAAGTGCTTTTCTTTCCTGTGCGGTCGGCCACTTTGCACACCCATGCTTTTAAGCTCTCCATTTGAATAGAACACTGGTACTGGCCATATTAAAGGATGGACTTCACAGACCCATTGATGTGTTACACTATGTGATGGAATCACTTCTCTAGAAATGATTATTATTTCCTACTCGCCTAAAGATTTAGATTTTAGGTTAGTTGACCTGCAGATCCAAACATGTTATTTGTTCAAATCTATAAGAACATACCTTTTGTTTCTGCCTCCATTGGATTGGGGACAAATGGTTCATTATTATCTAACCTCATATATTTCATTTTTAATCATTTTTATTAAATTCCGCAAAGTCAAATTGTGAAATCAATTGCAAAATGAAGAAAATATAATTAATGAAGGGATATTTTTGACAACTCAAGCATGAAAAATCCAACCTTTTGAAGTTGTAGTACCATTTTAAGTCTGGAGTATAAATAATGGGAGTTACGTAATACGGAGTACTCCGTATATGGACTTTGAGATGGGTGCGGTCAGTGGTGATCATTAAAGAAAATATGTACTTGTGTCCTTTGCTACTTCACAAAAGAAAATAGATAATTACCTTTTACTTTGAATATGTAAGAAAATAATTAGGACTACAAATAAGTATGGACATGTCTACTTCTAAAGGCTGAAATATTTTTCAATCAACCTCTCCTGTTCTTCATGCAGCACCCTTGGAGTGGTACTGTCCGACTGGCTATTGACTTAGAAGCCATGGGCGTTGGTGGAAAATCAGGAATTTTTCAGGTCTATTTTTGTCATCTACAATTAATTTGAACTGTTTTCTGCTTTGGCCCCATTCTATGTGCACATTTACTGTGCTGAAAACGTAATAAAGGTCAGAGCCATGCTTTTAACTTTGTAATATTTCGTTCAATGTACTAATCAGGTTTACAATTGCATTCGCCGGATTCTTATATTTTTCTACACCCCTTGATCTTTCTTTGGTTTCTCTTTCTGATTCTTGTTTCCTTTCCTACTCTTCTTCTTTGTTTAACAGGCTGGTCCTGACCCTTGGGCAATTGAGAACTTCGCACAAGTGGCAAAATTCCCATCTGCCCAAATTGTTGCACAGGTCTGTCGTGCATAATGTTTGAGTTATGAAACATCTTACTTTCCATTTCCAAATTGATTTATAAGTTACGTCCGCACACAGATATGATGTTTCATTCTGGACTACTTCCTACTGCAGGATGTGTTTTCTTCTGGGATAATAAAGTCAGGAACTGATTTTCAAGTGTATAGGGAACTAGGTGGTCTTTCTGGCCTTGACTTTGCATTTACAGAAAATACAGCTGTATACCACACTAAGGTAAGACATGAGAACTCAGACATTCTATATTCAATTCCCAATATATGGGCTGTAGTGAGAACATTTTTTTAGTAGAAGTTAATGGTTCAAGTCCAATTATCATACATAAAAGTTGTTTCTCTGTCTTTGATCAAGTGCTTTTCTTTCGTATCCAGAATGACAAGTTAAGTCTCTTAAAACCCGGTTCTCTTCAACATCTTGGTGAAAATATGCTTGCTTTTCTGCTCAAGGCTGCAACATCAACAAATCTTCCTAGCAGCAAGGAAACTGGATCCAATAAAGATCCTCACCTCGATATGGCCATATATTTTGATATTTTGGTAGTTCAAATCACACAACATTATAATGCCTTAATTTTTCTTTTGGTTTTTGGGTTTGTTTGGAATCTGGGAATGGTGGGTAAATGGAAAAAATGTCAAAGGAAATGGTTATTATGTGTTTGACTTTACCATGAAAAATATGAAGGAAAATCAAATTTGATTAATGTGTGACGAGAAATGAGAACACCCCGTTAGAATTGAGGCGTATATTCCTACAGGGTAGTGATGCAACCAACTATGATGTATGAGTATGAGTGGTGGGCGATAAAGAAGGCACACGAGCAGAAGCTGGAAGTTGCAGAAATCAGTATGTGGCAGTGGACTTGTGCTCGTACCATGTTGAACTGAATATGGAATGAGGTCTTTTGGGGAGTCACGGATGGAAGTTAGGAATTAGGATTGATGCCCACCCAATGCCCAAAGTAGACAGGTTTCACCCTTTTGGCATCTTGGCTCAGTCATTTAGGTGGATGGAGATTTGGACGAGGATGTTGTCCATCATGTTGGAGCAGCTTGGGCTAAGTGGAGGTTGGCTTCGGGGTTCTGTGCGATATGAAGATTTAGGCTAAATTGAAAGGTAAGTTCTACCGGTCCGTAGTCAGGCCAAACTATGTTGAGTGATGCAGAGTGCTCAGCAGTTCATAAAACTCACATTCACAAATGCATGCTGTGGAGATGCGGATGCTGCGGTGGATGAGTGGGAAGACGGAGATGGATAGGTGTAGAATATATTAGCTGACGTGTACAAACTTGGTCCCCAAGTTTAGCTCTTACGGTTGGTGTGGTTAGTTTGTTACGTAGTTTACGGACTGTTAGTTTGTTAAGTCTGTTTAGCCTTTCCTCTCCCTTTATATACTCAGTTGTAATCGTGGATGTGTGACGTGATGAGAACAAATAGTTTTCTTCTTCAATTTACCTCTGTGTTATCTTCTTCTCCACGTAGCTAGGGTTTTCATGGTATCGGAGCTCTGAAGGATCCTGTGCAAAATCTACTGTGCAATGGCGAATCGCGATGAACAGGCCTACCGGCATGATCCTCTGTTCCTCCACAATTTGGATCATCCAGGGATGGTTCTCAGCACGACGAAATTGAATGGAATGAATTTCATTCCATGGAGCAGATCAATCAAAATCTCGTTGATCTCGAAGATGAAGATTGGCTTCATTGATGGAACTTGTCCAAAACCAGATGCAGAATCTCCCAACTGCGCACAATGGGAGAGGTGCGATAGCATGGTCTTCAGTTGGATATTGAATTCAATCCAACCTGATTTGCCCGAGGCTTTCCTGTACGCGAACTCCTCACAAGAGCTGTGGGACGAGTTACTGGAACGATTTGGTGAAAGCAATGGACCTTTAATTTACCAGGTTGAAAAGAAAATTGCTGATATTAGGCAAAATAATGAACCTGTTGGAGCTTATTACACAAAATTGAAGAAACTCTGGGATGAACTAAACAATCTCAGTGATCCACCTGTGTGCACTTGCAATGGTTGCACGTGTGATGCTAAGAAGAAAGCCCTGGAAGCAGAACAAAGAAGGAAACTGGTTAAGTTCTTAATGGGGTTGAATGAAGGTTTTGATACAGCAAGAGGACAGATTCTGCTTTTGGATCCTCTCCCCTCAGCTAGTAAAGCGTGTAGCCTGATACAACAAGTTGAGAGACAGAAATCTATCACTGGAATTCAAGGAATCAGTACCGAGATGGCAACCTTAGCTACAAATGAGGGCATAGAAGCACAAAACCTGGTCATGTACGTCAACAAGGGGCAAAAACAAGGTAATTTCAACAAATTTGATCCCAAGAGAAGCAGTAGAAAGTTCTGTGATTATTGTAAGGAGGCTGGTCATTTTAAGGACCAATGCTTCAAACTGGTTGGCTATCCGGATTGGTACAAGGGTCCCAAAGGGAAAAGAGGGCAGAACACCTATGGAGGAAACAAATTTGCAGCACATACCATGGCACAAGGACAAGATATTCAGACTGATACGCCTCTTGATGACATTACCAATCATAAGAGTGACAATCACAGTTTTCAGAACAATCCTGTGTTTGTTCAACATGTTGCTCAAGAAATGATGGATAGAGCTCCAACCACATCTGATCCTGGTTCCCTAAATGCTTATGCCCACCTTGCAGGTAAACCTTGGTCTATGGCATCTATTGTTGTGCATTCCCGTATTGCTGAGGCTCATTGTGTAGGTAATGCAAATGTTGTTGATTGGATAGTTGACACCGGAGCATCTGGTCATATGACTCCGTTTGAAAATCTATTGTATGACTTGCATACTTTACAAAATCCTGTTACTGTGACACTACCTGATGGCACTCACAAAATAGTGTCCAAGGCAGGGGATGTTGTCCTATCTCCAGATCTGATATTGAGGAATGTTTTGTGTGTTCCTGATTTCCAGTTTAATCTGATATCAGTGAGCAAGATTGTTGATGATCAGCACATCAATGCAATGTTTATGGCTGATAAGTGTGTTTTCCAGGACCCTTCAACTGAGAGAATTGTTGCAGTTGGTTCCAGGATACACGGATTGTACAAGATAAGGGTGGATCACAAGGATACAACACATGGAATGGCTGCTAAATCCTGTGATTTTAATCTGTTACATGCTAGACTAGGGCACACTTCTTGGTCTAAGATGAAACACATCTCTGAATGTAGTACCTGTACTCCTAAAACTTTTCATTGTGATACTTGTATGCTTGCCAAGTTTAATAGACTTCCTTTTCCCAAAAGTATGTCCTATACTTCTATACCATTTCAAATTATACATGTTGATTTGTGGGGACCCTATAAAAGGCCAAATATTACAGGGGCAGTTCTATTTCTAACCATTGTGGATGATTGTACAAGAAGTACATGGACACAGCTGCTACAAACAAAGGACCAAGTTAAAGGTGCCCTGGCTCATTTCCTAGCTATGGTGGAGACACAGTTCCAAAGAAAAGTTCACTGCATTAGGTCAGATAATGGAACAGAGTTCATCAACTATACATGTTCTGACATTTTTGGACTTAAGGGGATTATACATCAAAGATCCATGGTCAAGACTCCTCAACAAAATGGAATTGTAGAAAGGAAACACAGACATTTGCTGGACACAGCAAGAGCCATTAGAATTCATGCCCATTTTCCTAAGAATTTTTGGGGAGAATGTATCTTAGCTGCAACACACATAATAAACAAACTTCGAGTGGAAAGGTTGGGATGGAAGACTCCTTTTGAGATGTTGTACAATAAGGAACCAACATATGAAGAATTGAGAGTGGTGGGCTGCCTGTGTTATGCTGCCAACCTCCACAGGAAAGACAAGTTTGACAATAAAGGGATACGATGTGTTCTTCTTGGTTACCCTTTTGCCCAAAAGGGTTACAGGCTGTATGATGTCCAAGCAAAAAGAATATTTCACAGTAGGGATGTTCTCTTCCAAGAGGATGTTTTCCCCTTCAAGAGGAATGATTCAGGTATAGGCTCTGAGCAAAGTGGGGCCTATTTACCATTCCCTCTAGCCTCTGTTGAAGATAGTGACTACAACCCTGTCATCAACAATGTGCCTGATGTGCCCGTTGTGCCACATCATAATGTCTCTGGTTCAAATGAGCGGGATGTTCCACATAGTACATCTGATGGTAATACTTCACAACACACTGAGGCTGAACATTCTAATATTAATGTTCATAGAGACACTCCAGACCTTATACCAAGAAGATCTTCCAGAGTACGAGTTCAACCTGCATGGATGAAAGACTTTGGGGGTGTTTGTTTTTTCTGCAGCGGTCTGCGGACCACTACTGTAGACATCTGCAGGAGAAGTGGTGGACCGAAGATCTGCGGTCTGCAAGAAGAAGACTGTTTGTTTTTTTAATGTATGTAGACTGCTATATAAATTAATGGTGGTAGTGTACAGTGATGGTGTATGGACGATTGTGGTGGTGGTGNTGGTGGACGGTGGTAGTGGTGGACGGTGGCGGTGGACAGTTGTGGTGGTGAAGAGAAGTAGAAAAAAAAGGAGAAGATGTTAGAAGATGTTAGAAGTCATTGGTTAATGTCTTCTCCAAGAAGATGCCAGGAAGACCTTTTTGAGTGAAATGTCTTCCAAAAAACAAACAATCTGCAGAGCCCATCATCTGCGCGCGTCTGCGCGGCGCAGACAAAAGACGCCAGAAGGTCTTCTGGCAGAAAAACAAACACCCCCTTTGTGTTGCATAAAGGAAGAGCTTCTTCCTCATCATCTGCTACAACCTCACAGTCATATAGCTTCTTGGCTGCGTCTCATGGAATGGTCTGTGCTGACTTGACTTATCATTCTACTGCTTTCCTCACCTCATTCAGCAAAATGATGGCAGTCCCCGAGCCTCATTATTATGCTCAAGCCAAAAACATTCCAGAATGGCAAGAGGCCATGAAGAAGGAGTTAGATGCTCTGGAAGCAAATCAAACATGGGACTTAACTCCTTTACCCCAAGGAAAGAAGCCTCTTACACCAAAATGGATTTACAAAGTCAAATATTATCCAAGTGGGGTTGTTGAGAGGTACAAAGCAAGGCTCGTGGTAAGAGGATATGATCAGATCCCAGGGAAAGATTACAAAGATACTTTCTCACCAGTGGCCAAACTCACTACTGTGAGACTCCTTATTGCCCTAGCAGCTGCGCGCCATTGGCCATTACATCAGTTGGACATCAACAATGCGTTTTTACATGGATACCTTGATGAGGAAGTATACATGGTGCCTCCCCCTGGATACACTAAGGCCAAGCCCTATGAGTTTTGTAGATTAAGAAAATCCTTGTATGGACTCAAACAAGCCTCAAGGCAGTGGAACATTGAGCTCTCTAAGTTCCTCACTTCCTTGGGCTTCCTTAAGTCTAAACATGACCACTCGTTGTTCATCAGAAGGTACAATGGAAGTTTATAGCCCTCTTGGTCTATGTGGATGATGTGCTCCTCACAGGAGAAGATGAGGATCAGATTCATCAAATTAAAAATAGCCTACATGCTAAGTTCACCATCAAGGAGTTGGGTCTTGCAAGATATTTCCTTGGAATGGAAATATCTAGATCCTCTGTAGGAATATTCCTTAACCAGAGGAAATATATCCTAGACTTGTTATCTGATGCTGGAGTACCACATGATGTCAAAGCATCCTGTCCATTGCCCAGAAATCTCAAACTTTCTTTGGACTCAGGTACTCCAATTCCAAAACCTGAACAATACAGGAAAATTATTGGAAGATTACTTTATTTGGGGTTGACCAGACCAGATATAAGCTATGCTGTACAACATTTGTCTCAATTCATGCAAGCTCCTACTGATTCTCATGTTAAAGCACCCTATCATGTTCTTCAATATCTGCGTGGAACTCCTAATCTGGGCTTGTTCTATCCTTCTGATTCTGATCTTCGCACAAGAAGCTATTGTGATGCAGATTGGGCATCTTGCCAAATGACAGCTAGGTCATTGACAGGATACTGCGTCTTTTTGGGCCCATCACTCATTTCATGGAAGACAAAGAAACAAAAGACTGTTTCCAAGTCCTCCGCAGAAGCTGAGTACAGAGCTATGTCTGCTACTACTTCAGAGCTTGAATGGGTTAGCTATCTTTCTAAAGACTTGGCCATTCCACAACAGCTACCCATTTTACTGTTCTGTGACAACAAGGCTGCAATCCACATAGCCTCCAACCCTGTGTTTCATGAGCGCACAAAACACCTCAATATTGACTGCCATTATACTCGGGACAAGATTTCTGAAGGCTTCCATCAAACTGCTTTTGTGCCTTCCCGATTGCAGCTTGCTGATATTCTTACCAAGCCATTGGGGGAAGCTAGTCATACAGATTTGGTTGCAAGGCTAGGACTTCTTCAGCAGCCTCCAAGTCTGCCTTGAGGGGGGGGGGGTGTAGAATATATTAGCTGACGTGTACAAACTTGGTCCCCAAGTTTAGCTCTTACGGTTGGTGTGGTTAGTTTGTTACGTAGTTTACGGACTGTTAGTTTGTTAAGTCTGTTTAGCCTTTCCTCTCCCTTTATATACTCAGTTGTAATCGTGGATGTGTGACGTGATGAGAACAAATAGTTTTCTTCTTCAATTTACCTCTGTGTTATCTTCTTCTCCACGTAGCTAGGGTTTTCAATAGGATTCAAAACGAGGTTATCCGAGGACAAGTAGGCCTGGTTCCTGTGGAGGATAAGCTACGAGAAGCTTGGTTGAGGCGGTTTGGGCATGTGAGTTGGGGGAGTGTTGATGCACTTGTGCAAAGATGCGATAGGCTTACGTTTGTGGGTGGGAGTATGGGAAGGGGTAGAAGAAGAATTGGATGGAGGTTCGAGTCTTCGACTTCTTGTCCTTACTTAGGATATGGCCTTAGATAGGAGCGTGTGTAGAGCTAGGATTAGGGTAGTCGGGTAAGCACTTTGGGCTTAAGTGATAGTTTCTCCTCTTGTTGTGTGCTTTGTATGTTTGGTGCTCTCTGCTAGATGTGTCTTTAATTTGCCTCATTTTATCGGTTTGTTCTTTGCCTCTGTGTGCTTTATGCCATCTCTGCTATATATGCCTTATGTGAGCTGGGTGTCTCCTGGAAACAGGCTCTCTACTTTCGAGCAGGGACAAGGTTTGTGTACACACACCCTCCCCTGACCTTACTCTCGTAGGATCCAACTCGGTTGTCGTTGTTGTTGTTGTTGTCTTGTGGGGAGTCACACCTATTTTCAATATGGTATGACAAATTGACAACAACAACAACTCAGTTGGATCTCTCGAGATAGGCTTTGGGAAGGGTTTGTACGCAGACCTTGCCCCTACTCGAAAGTAGAGAGGCATTTGTGATAAGGTATGAGAGAGAAGATATTGATACTTAGATGCGGTGACATCTGTGAGGAGGTAGGAGAGCCAGCTGGAGTGTAAGGAGGTGAGGCAGGCCACCAAAGAACGTAACAATGTGGAAGGTGTTTCTTAGGCTGGAAATGTCAACTTAGGACAGAAGATGTCTTGTAGGGTGTGGGGTTTACTCTGCTGGGTGTCGGCGTTGGTTGACTCTTTGCTCACTTGCCTTCATGCTTGCCTATTTTAGGAGTATTTACTGCTTGTTTTCTGCATGCCCTAACATTTTATTCCATATTCTGCACCCCAGCTGTCAAATTTCGAATTTTTTACCAAAAGTTAGTTTACTCCATTTTAACATGTTTTCTATCTTTTTTTTACCTGCATGCATTTCACCTTCCTAGACACTACCTACTAGTGGGAATTACTGTGTTTGTTTGGTTTTAGTCTTTACATAATAGAAGTATATAAATTGGAGTGGTTTGAACAAAAATCTAGAAATGATTTTCTAAGCTTGAACTAATTTTTATTTTTACCTACGTTTTCTTTCCTTATTTTCCTGCATATTTTATTTCATTAGCATTTTCCAAGTTTCAAACGGACCCGAGCTGATTGTTGATTTCTAATTGACTAACGCATTCTCATCCAAAACAAAAAATAGGGAACATACATGATTGTATACCGCCAGCGCCTTGCTAATATGCTCTATAGTTCAGTGATACTGCAATCTCTTTTAATATGGATTGCATCACTCTTTGTGGGAGGATATCCAGCTGTTGTTTCTCTAGCCTTATCATGTTTGGGCATCATACTCATGTGGATAGGATCTATAGCTTGTTCTGTTTTTGTCACTTTTGTCCTTCCCCTTGTATCACTGTCACCGGTTCCCTTTGTGTCATGCCCATTGCTGGTAGTTGGGTTGTTTGGTGGACCCGCCCTTCTTGGAGCTTTGAGCGGTCAGCATTTCGGTTATCTCATTCTTGTGAAGTACTTGTCACAAACAAAGGGAACATTGCCTCCATCCATCCAAACTGGTGTGGCTGAGTTAGATGCAGAAAGATGGATGTATAAAGCTGGTCTCTTCCAGTGGTTTGTTCTCTTGGCATTGGGACATTTTTTCAAGATTGGTTCTTCTTATCTGGCCTTTGTTTGGCTAGTTTCGCCCGCATTTGCTTGTAAGTTGCAATTTACACCTTTCTATTTCCGTGCAAGATAATGAGAAAGGAACATCGAGGATATGTTTATTTCATGGGCTATCAAAGGGTGTTTAGTAGGCCTCTAGTTAGTAAGCTCGTGCTTAATAAATAAATTTATACTTCAAAAGTGTAATGGGATTGGGTCTCTAATAAAAACCATATACTTCACAAGGGTTAATACTTAATAACATGTACTCCGTATTAAATAGGGAGAGCCATATTTTCCCTTCTTCATGGATTGAAATGCAGCAAGTTGGCTGGTGCACCGCTGGCAATAATTTAAAACTTCGTAATTTTAAATATGTGTATGTAAAAGTTGAGTGTTGGCCCGCTGGTAGAGAAGTTAAAATTGAGGATTGATTGGTAATTTTAAAAATCCAAAGCGTTGGTTAAATAATACACAGGGGAGGTGTCATGCAGCTGTAAAGCTACACTTATGGTCAATATGGCTATTAAGCAGGCTTTAACCCATCCAATGAGTTTACTTCACCTGCATTAATACTAACGGCATGTTTAAAGGCTTAGTAAGCATAAATAACATGTTTCACTTACTTTTATGTAGTTTTTTTTCTTCTGAAAATAAGAGTTTGGTTGAAATCCCATTCTTGTTAGTTCAAAGGTTATTGAGTTGATGAAGAACTTTTAAACTGATTTATATGTTCTGGAATCCAGATGGTCTTCTTGAAGCAACACTGTCACCTGCCCGGCTACCAAAACCTCTCAAAACTGTAACCTTGCTGATTGGATTGTTTGTACCATTTTTAATTTCTTCTGGCTTGGTTATCCGGCTGGTTGCTACAGTAATTGGAGGTTCTGTTCGGTCTGTAAGGTAGTATTATAACAGCCTAGCAATTTATACATTTCAAGAAGTGTCTAAAACGCAACTATTGAACCCCCTGAGGTTTTAAAACTGGATACATGTGTGAAAACTGGTCAACAAAGATACCTTATTAGTTGTGGTAAAAATAATCACTACCAGCTCATCTCATAAAAATGGGAATTTGCACAATTATTACAAAACGATGATCCAATTATAAACTGAATAATGCTGATTTTTCATTCACCAGAATTTGGAATTCCATTGTTAGTTCATAATTTATCTTTATATTTTTACTGGTATTCTTGTGAACATTTGGAGATCGATATTTTTGTTATGATTTGCAGGAATCCAGGAGACCAGCCGGAATGGCAGGGGAATGCAATTCTTGCAGTATTTGTTGCAGCTATAGTATGCTTGACAATGGTGTATCTTCTCTCATATGCTCATATTTCAGGCAACATTTCTTAACTATCTATTGACCAAACCTTGTAATTTGTCTATCCTTTCAAGACAGATAACTCGATTTAGAATATTGATTTATATTGCGCTCTGTTTTCAGGTGCAAAGGCTCCCATTATAATTACAACGTGTATATTGTTTGGCATCTCACTTACCATGGTGTCATTAGGAGTTAATCCACCATTTACCGAAGATGCTGCAAGAGCCGTAAATGTATGTTTGATCCACAAAGACCAACATGGGAATTCTGGGACCGCTCACCCGGGTTCGATCCCCAGAGGAAGCAAGGGGAAGGGACTATTATGGGGTTTTTTTAGGGAGTAGTTTGGGCTGTAAAAATGAAGGGCTGAGGTTAACATGCCTCGGCTCCATCGTTGTGGCGAGCTTTAGTTATTGTGACATTCATGTTTGCCCAACCCTTGCACATGGTTATTGATTTTTTAAAACTGGGTTGCAGTAGGTTCGAACCTCTGACCTCTTCATCAACGTGGCTCTAATACCATGCCAAAAGAAACCAACTCAACCAAACCGAACCAGAAAAACTTTTATACTCTAACAGTTCGGGTTGTACTTCTAAAAAGATATTTTTGACTGTTTTGCAGGTTGTGCATGTTGTGGATGCATCAGGAAAGGAAGAACCAGTGTCACACATCTCGTTGTTTTCGACAACTCCCGGAAACTTGAACAGAGAGGCCAGAGAGATCGGAGAAGGTTTTGTCTGCGGTAGGGATAAGCCTTTTGATTTTGTGACTTTCTCAGTCAAGTATGGCTGTTGGACAACCAAAAATGCCGAAGTTGGGTGGAATAAATCAGATATTCCCATGCTTCACGTCGAGAGTGACGTGAAGGGGAATAGCAGCAGAGTTAGTCGCATCCTTGTTGATACAAGAGGTTCCACTCGGTGGAGCCTTGGAATCAACACTGATGAAGTAGAAGACTTCCTTCTCAAAGGTGCAACTTTTCATTCATCGCTCTAAACTATGGTTTAAACTACTCCTATGTCCCTAAATAAACTTCAGTTTACGATATACGATGTTTGATCAAAGTTATTTTCAATTCAATTTATTCTAGTATTAGTGCAAAACTTTAAAGAAGTCAAATTTACATATTTCAAAACAAGTTTTTTGCGCCATTTACTCCTGAACTCTTTAAAAATTACGCAGATTCATCCCAAACTTAAAAAATTGCACCAATGCCCTTGAACTTTTAAAAATGTTGCACCAATGGTCCCTCTGTGCCAGACTTGGGATTACATTAATCACACGCGTATCTAGTGCTAGTATGAACTCATCTAAAGTCATATATCACACGTGAGTTCTGCAAAATATATCCTTCCCAAACATGATTTTCTATATTTTTAACCTCTTTAAACCTTAGATAATTATTCTCCATTTAGTCGTCGGTAACCAAATTTGAAGGCCGGACATTATTTGATAAATCTCTAATCAACCTCTTCATCAATCCATGACATCTTCATCAAGCTCCAACACATGTATTGACAAACATGTGATTAGCACACTCTCAAATCTGGCATAGAGGGACCGTTCGTTCAACATTTTTAAAAGTTCAGGGGGCATTGGTGCAATTTTTTAAGTTCAGGATGATTTCGCACAATTCTCAAAAAGTTGAGAAGTAAATGGCACAAAAAACTCTTTCCAAAACTACATAAAAGTTTTTCGAAACAAGAGGATGTTATTCTAAGAAATGAGAATGAGTAAAGAAAGAAGATATAGTTTGACATGGTGAATATAGTGGAAGTGAAGTTTATTTAGGGACAAAAGGAGTACTACTATAATGTTAAGTGTTCTCCAAATGTGTAATGTGACCATCTTTTCACACAGATGATTCCGAGGAGTTGGTCTCACTTGGAGAGAAAACCAGCGTCGATGGTTGGCACACAGTTCAATTCGCGGGAGGGAAGAAATCACCGACCGAGTTCAAATTGACTCTCTTCTGGCACAAAACCCGGTCTCACACGAAAGGCGCGGGACCCGAAGCGGGACCCACCTTGCTGAAACTGAGAACTGATGTGGACAGGCAGACTCCACAAACTGCTGAGGTTCTGAAGAAGCTTCCTTCTTGGTGTTCTCTGTTTGGGAAGTCCACATCACCTTATACCTTAGCTTTCTTCAATACTTTAAATGCTTCTTTTTAGTGTTAACTACATTTGCTCTCGGCGTTGCACAGCAAGAAAATTTTATCATGATTTGTGCACAATTATAATAAGATATGATGCAATTAGAATGCTGGAAATAAAAAATGGGGTTTTGCAATAGAGTGAATTTTATCACTTTTAAGGGCAAAATTGTTTATTTAATTTATAAGGAATGGATGTATCCAAAATGGAGGTGAATATAACAACACTTAAAAACATCTATGTGGGTGTTTATTGGTTGATAAGTAGTTCCTAACTTATAAACTGCTTATAAGTCAAATAATCATTTATGGAAGTAAAATGACTTAAATGATAGATAAGTCACTTGAAAATATTCATAAATGGTGAGAGATAGTTTTGTAAATAATATGGTCAAAACAGAGAAATGAAAAATCTAACTTAAAAATAAGTAGCTAAGACATATCGTTTCCGGTTTATAAGCAGCTTATAAGTCAGTTTATAAGCATACAGAAACACGTCATCCACTGACTTATAAGTAAAGAGTTGTTTATGAGTAGTTTTGACTGTCTTATACGCATAGAGAAACATCTATATTCTCTTTGTCTAAAAAAGAATGTCACAGTTCATTATTCAAAAATTTTAGAAATCTTTGTGTATTTGTACATTTGTATTGATTATTTATAAAATAAAATATTCATGCCTTCTAAGAACTTGTGATGCAATTTTTAAAATTTTGTTTTGAAGGTGATAAACGTTTTGGGAAGGAGGGAGTAAGTCTTAAACATTGTCATATAACTTGTCTGCAAACAATATACACAATATTGGCAAGGTTTTTTTGACCCTCAAAACAATGGTCATATTTTGACACAGATACTTGTGGTACTTTATTGGGGGCCATTATGGGCATTCATAATCTTCTTAATTGCTACCTAGTATGGTATTGCATTTGCCTTTAACTTTTTCTCCGTGAGATGAGATAAATTGCGAGTTAGATTTCATACCTTGATAAACTGTAGGGAGAAATTGTCAAATACTAACACACAATATCAAATTATGATAGTGCCAATACTCTCAATATTATAATCTTAATGAGGTGATTTTTTAAAATTTTTTACTCTCTTTCTTTCAAAATAATTATCTTATTTTGGACAATATGTAAAAGCTCATCGCTTTTAAAAATATTTTGTTTACAATTTGAATAGAAATAAAGAATACGAATTACATATTTTAAAATTACATCAAAAGTTAAATAACACAGGTATGTGACAAGAATATTTTATTTTATCGAATAATTAATGAAAATACATAAATAAACAAAACGTATCAAAAGACCAAAATAGTACTCCTTCTGTTCTTAAATAATTTACACACTTTACTATTCAAAAATCGCGTAAGTTTTTGTTTATTTGTGTGTTTTCATTGACTATTTGATGAAATAAAATATTTTTATCACCTCTTGTTTTGTACTCCCTCTGTCTCATTTTAAATTGCCTGTTTGCCTTTTTCTCTGTCCCAAAATAAGTTGTCTGTTAGTTGTTTTCGTAAACTTTTAAAAATAAAATACCTAAACTACCCCTAAAATAAGTCATTCTTCTTCACCTTATCTTCTCATTCATCGTCACCCCTCATAAAAAGTAATGACAATTTCAGAAAACCAACTATATTTTTTATTTTCCTTAAATATGCCCAAAAGTCAAAACATGCGATTTAAAACGGGAGGGAGGGAGTACTATAAAACTTTTGATGTACTACTCTTTAAATATGTAAATTTTATTTATTATTCATATACCAATCTTTAAATAAAATGAATTGAAAAAACTTGAGATTTTACTTTATTTTGCATAAAGAGTAGATAATTTAGGGATGGATGGAGTATTTGGAACGGGTAGAGTATTTCAATTTATGGTATTTGATTGAAGTTATTTTAAATTCAATATTATTAACTTTTGGTTTTATTTTCTTTTTAAATTAAATGTTTAATAATTTAAAAGTTCAAATTTTTTTATTTATTGAGTTGTTGAATACTCCGTATTATTGAGTCTGTTACAATATCTTCTTAGGCCATGTTCTTTTCACCTGATGTGATCGATTGGTTTTGATCTGAATGGAATAAGTTTTAATCTGATCTGATATGATTTGGTCTAATCTGACCTAGATGTAGTTATATTTAAAGCTGTTTATGATCTAATTAATTTGGTTTGATATGATCTGATTTCAATAAAAATAGGTAATAAGTAAAAAAATAAGTTGAGGAGAACAGAAGCATGAATTTTATTAAATAAGTGGCAACGAGTTTGATTTTATTGAAATACTACTTTCATCTCAAAAATATTTTCTTGTTGTTAGTTGCCATGCTTGACTAAGATTAGGGTTGTCAACGGATAACCGAAAATCCGATTACCGTCCACATTCGTATCCGTTTGAAAGGAAATATCTGCACCCATTTTCAATGGATATTACCCGTATCCGATTAATGATATCCGATTATTACTGAACGGATACGGATTTGGTAATTGTATATTCGATTCGTTTAAAATCCGATCCAAATATGGATCCGTTTAAATAACCGTTTATCCGAAAATCTGATCCGTTATATATAATTTTTCCTAATTTTTTTATGTTTGTATTTTGTTTTCTATTGATATTTCAAAGTATAAGACATTTTTATATACAAAATAAATGTGTAGACGCATAAAAATGAAAATATGTATAGACATATAAAAATATGTGTATATGTGTGATGTGTATATCTTTTTATCATATGGAGTTATCGTAGAATATCATAAATCATGAAAACAAAGAAAATAATTATCCTATAACAAATTATAGTTGATTTAATAATAGTTTGACTTTAATCTAATTTAAAATTAAAGTAATGTTTAATTTGATTTTAAAAATTGGAAACGGATACGGATATATCCGATATCCGACCGATATCCGACGGATGCGGATACGGTTTTGATTTTCAGTATCCGTCAAGATTCGTATCCGAATTCGATATCCGACAAAAATAAACGGATACGGATTTGGTAATGGAACATCCGATCCGATTAGTATTCGTTTACTCCCCTAACTAAGGTCATCCTCCAATTTCATTTAACAAGATACCGGAGTATGTTCTAAATTTAAAAAGGACGAGTATTGAGATGGGCAAATCTTTTGCAGCTTGTTTATTTGTATAAGGGGTTGAATGGCATTCAAATGACTTTTAAGCTAACCTCTTTTAATACCAAGATTGGCACTCAACTTTTGACATATCAAAAGCCCTAATGTTTATCTTTTTGTGTGGAGAAATGTTTGGGATGGAATCTGAGTCCATGACCACTCTTTTACTCCTAGTATAAACCTTGGCAATTTTTTTTGACGTGGTAGTATTGCTTCAATGAGTTTTTGTCTTTGAAAGTTCCTAACCCTTATGTTATTTTTTGTGCTTTCTGTTTGTAGTGATTCATCACTGCCAGGAGGGTTAAAGAAAGAAAATTGGTTAGTGGAAAGAGAAGACATGGGTGAAGACAAGTAAAGAGGATGAAGATGAAGGGACAAGTCCTTAGAAAGCATGTGTTGGGGAGGGTTAGTTTCTAAATTTAGTAAGGGTAGGATAATTTATAGTTGAAGTTTCGGTGGGAGTTTTTGTATTTTTTTAGAGGGAAGTCTTCAAAACCTTCCCTCAAAAGTGTAATTTCAAATTTTTAACATGTTTTTCAACCCCATTTATCCATCATAAAAACCGACATGTTTTGGTTTTGATTTGATAAGTTTTTGATGTGTTATTGATACGTGAACTGTAATTTTGTTCTTTTCCTTATTGTCTTAATTTTGGTTCTTGCTAGGAACTCACTATGATTGTCCATATACATGATAATCACAAGTGATTGTATACATACACAGACCATAAATTATTACGTACATCTGGCTGTATGGTTCTCTCCATACACCCGGAGTCAATTTTGGAGGAAGGTGATGGAGTGCAGGCACAATAGCGGCGACAATCTGAGCCACGACAACATCGACAATGGCTATGGCCTCCATTGCATCGGTGACGCTCCCTGCGTTGAAGGTGGAGACGAAACTGTGATGAAGAAGAACACGAAGTGTTTCACAATCGGCCTTCTCTTTGAATTCTAGCTGATTACACTGACAAATGGTGATGGGTTTAGGATGAATTGAATTATGCTCATTCTTATGTGTGAGTACACATTTTGCTATATATCGATATTCACTTATATTCGGAGAAATATTCATTCATTTTGGTAATTATATATGTTCATTCTTCTATGTGATAGTGTTCATTCTGTTATATCATGATACTCATTTATAGTCTATGAGTGCTTATCCGTGTCTGGGCTTGTGCCCTCGTAGATTTAAAAAAAATGGTAATGATAAATGTTCATTCTTATATTTCGTATATGATACTCATTTTTTTGTATTATAGTACTCATTTGTAATCTAAATATATTTGTTGGATTTACTTAAATTTAGATACGCCCAGCTGAAAGGTATATCAACTAATATACGGTTGATAATCATTTGTATTCAAAGACGATTATCGTTTGTATATACATAAATAAATAATCTGTGATTGCCTTAATTGTTTTTCAAACTTTAGAATGAAAATATTTTTAAAAGTCAAAGCCATATATACTTTTTGAATGAGTTGTAGGGTACTAGAGTAGGTAATTGGAAATTTGGAGAGTAAACTCCCGATATATGGAACATTTTAATACACCATTCCTGGCAGTGCATGTCAGGCATCTTTTTCCTGGCAGTGCAACTCGGAGTTGGCAACTCCGTTTCCTTTTGTTTTATTTTTAAAGACGCAGTAGCCTACTCCGTTTGAGCCCAATTATTTAATGACACGGAGTAGCGAAATCCGTTTGGGTGGAATAAAACCAAGACGGAGTAGCCAACTCCGTTTGGCCTGACATAATCAGAGACAGAGTACGCTACTCCGTGTCTCTTCAATTTAGATCTCCGCCCCTCTCCTCTTTTACACAGATCTGAGATCTGTAAAACAAAAAAAAAAAGGTCTGCACTGGGCGTTAAACGACGAGGGAGGGCCGACAGTGGGCGATAAACGACGAGGGAGGGAGGACGCCGAACGACCCCACCTTGACCGGAGTCAGCTACTCCGTTTTGAAGCTTGAAGGTATTTTAA